ATAATAATGAAGGAATCAGGTACCTGCCATCTCCAAAAACCACTCCCAGTGGCCCAGGTATATGAAAATGAAAATCAGTGAGAACGCGTTGAAGAAAGAATCACTTTTCTCAAATGCTTTGTATTAATTATCATGACTGACATTTTGGGGAAGGATTCACAAGCAGTTGAGCTATCTCACTATGTTTCAGGACAAACCCATTTCCCTCAGGACAGGTGGCTGAAGAACACAGGTAAAGCACACTGAGAATATTCCCTGATAAAACTCACAAGATGGAAGCGAGGGACAGAAGACGAAATGGAAATGGGAGGAGAGAAGAAAGCGCTATCTACTACCTACCTACCTTCAGACTTGTAGGTCATTTTAGAGAAAATGATCCTTCACTCACTTTAGTCAACAGAATGGGGTGTCTGGATATCCATTAGTATTTTTAAGTGGTAATAATAATTCATAATGTTCAGGGCGTAATTCTTCTAAAACCACAAGCAAAGATATGACAAAAGATGTCTCCAACAGATCTTGTCACCACAAGCAAAACCAATGAAACAACATCTGTCTCTTCTAGAGCATTCAATTCCCAATTCAATTCCATTTACGCCATCCTTAGAGTGGCAGGCCCGCAGGGCACTTTTCATCTAATAGTGTTTCTATGGAAACGCCATTCTCAACCTGGAAGATGCTACAGCCCCTCACACAGGCTTTATCTACAATGAACGGAAGTGCTCATAAATCAGAAATCAAGACACAGATTTAGCCACATATACACAAATATTTTCCAAGCTAGAAGTTCACACACAAAACTTAAAGAAATAAAAGAAAACAAAACCACATAGCCAATAGGTTTATCTGGTTTAGAAACAAAATTTGTCTCTATTGCAAGGCTTCATCTGAGGGATCCTCAGGACCAGGAAGGGGGGAGAGAGAGAATGGGAATGAAACTAATTTCACCTTCTGGACACCTCCCCCAGTTAACCTTCAGAGTCACTTCCCCGCCAGGCCATGGCAAATATTGACTCTTGAATGCTTTTTTCACCTGAATCTGCAGGTGTGTGTTTTAGACACCTCCCTCTCCCCAACTTTCAGGATTCCTGGGATACGCAGCCACTTCATTTAGGAAAACAAAGTCACTGCATATTAACTACTGTTCTACTTAGACTATATTTAAAACGGCAACAGGAAGAAAGGAAAAAAGAAAAATGATCCTTTTTTTTTTACCTCATTGATTCCTTTTGCTTTTTTTCATTGGGCTCTTGAGTATGTATCTTTGTATCATGATGCACTGAAGAAGCACAATATGCAAAACATACCCAGCTTAAGCACTATGGCATAGTAGGCTGTTTATAGTTGGAATAATGACTTAAAAAGAGGGAAAACCTTTGATGTGACATGTCTCTGAGCTGATTGTGACTATACAGTGACTCATTTGCAAATATTAAGTACTTTTTAATTGTTTGTAATAATTTATCTCCAGGCAAATGAAAACATTTCTAAGTGCTTTTTCTCTTCTCAATTTTCTCTTATTATCTAAATCATGTCAGTCATTCTTTTCAGTTCCAGGCAATCGTTTCTTTTAAGAGACCTCTACTATCAGTACTAGCAAATGTTCAACCAAGACTGGGCTGGAAATTTGCCACACTAAAATTTCCTTTTGCTCCATAATCAGCAAACTTTAAAACTTGTTTCCTTTTCTTTTATTGTTTTCATTATACACAAGTATGTTCAGTTCAACTTGCTAGAGACTGTGAGTCCAAAAAGGAGCTTTTAGTTCTCTCTTTGGAGTAGCAAAATGTGCTACTGATTAAATCTACCTATGGATAACTACAGACCAGCACATTTTTCTTCTCATGCAGCTGGGGTGCAAATCCAGAAAGGTTTTTTATTCAGGGCCTATTCTACGCCTCTAACACAAAAATGCTTGAAAGCCCTTTCAGGGGCAGAATGTTTTTTAACTGAATAAACTCAATGAAAGGATTGATCCATTTATTTTAAAAAGAAAACAATAACAATTTTCTTTCAGTAAGATGTGTGAGGTTTGAGAATAACCTTTTGGCATTTAAAAGATTCATTTACAATTTACAAATAAATTGTTATTGCTATTGTTTTAATTAGTCAGACTTTCAACGTCTCTTTTATACTGAGCAAAATTTCAGAAAGGATTTTCCGCATAAATAGCACTAATCTCATAATCTCATAATCATTTAAAATTTGTACACAGGCTTCCTAATGAATTACGCATCCTTGAAGACCTCTCTAAACTGAAAGTTACTAAAAGATTAGTACTGAGATGTCAGTTATTACTTACTTTTGGACAAACAATAATAACACTCTGCTTAAAATCTAGAGTTTTTTCCCATAGAATTTACTGAAATTAGGTACTAACTATAAACATACCTATGCAGTCCAGAAGGAGAACAAAACAAAGAGAAGCTGTCCCTGCAGATGGAAATCTGCTTACACTTATAATTAGAGAAGTGGAAGGGGACCCTTCTGATTGGGAGAATAAAAAGGGGTGAAAATTTCTAACTCTCCCTTTTGCTTCTGAGATGTTGTGTAAGCAATTAGTTTTTCAAAGGCTGTTACAACTATCCATATTTCCATATGGGCAGATGGCACTACAGTGGGCAGGGGGACAGAAATACCCAGTGCAAACCGTAAGGCAACTTCTATGAACAGTCATAGAAAGCCAAAGAGTCCATCCTTTTGTGCTCCTGAGAAGAATGGACTTCCCCTTCCAGAGCAGAGACACAGGCCAGCAAAAATCCCGACACTGAAGGCAACTAGCCAGGCTTCAAGAAATCAGGCAGCTCATGAATAATTTCTATTATATTTGCCCCAACAATGTAGAGTCCACATAAGCATTGCAATGCAGGTAAAATCACACTATTAGAAAGGATTTTTTTTTTGGCCCTGTGTGAGTGTGTGTGTGTGTGTGTGTGTGTGTGTGTGTGTGTGTGTGTTTAAAATAACAGAGCTCTCTGCAAGGTTCTTCACAAGGGTACGGCTTAGAAAAACAGTAAAACTGGCAGATGAATAAAATAACTTGCTTCTCTCTCTCTCCTGATTCTGTCTGAACCAATATTTGATTATATTTTATTTAAGGGCACATGAACTTCAAGCAAAGCCAAAACTCCTTCAGAGATTGAGATGGGAGCTGAACAATCTATTCATTCTTCCTGATAGGACAGGAAATAGAAATAGTTTGATTCAGATTTCAGGGTAATTGTCATTTCATCTCCACAAACCAGAGTAGTCAGCTGCTCAGTTCTGGTGATGAAATATTAGCACCCTTGCATGTACCTTTGACTAATTGTCACTTATCTAAATGTCACACTATTGTTTTTCAGGATAAGCCCTGCTTATCCTAGACCTCCTTGTCCACCTCCCACCCCCCCTGTTCGCTAATGGTTTCCTCAACAGGAAATTTGTACAAGGTATAGATCTCAAATATGTACATACATGCAACAAGTGTCAGATAAATAACGGTCAAATCTAGGTTAGCCTAATATGATGTCAAAATCAAAACATCTAAAACAATCTGAACCTTTGACTAACTTCCAGCATTAAACCTCTAAAGTTTATTCTAAAATGATCAGCAATCTAGATATTTAGATTCATGAAAAGAGAAGAGAGAAAAGTGTCTCTCTCTCTCTGTCACTCTTTCAAATCTGTCTGTCTGTCTGTCTGTCTGTCTCTCTCTCTCTCTCTCTCTCTCTCTCTCTCTGTTCTCTCTCTTCTGCGGCTCTGCATTTTACTCGCCAATACTGGAAAATGTAGATTAACTTATATCTTTAAGTATTATTGAAGGCATAGCCTCTACTCAGAGGAGTAGAGTTAAGGTGGCCTGCAAACAGTCCCTGAATTAATCACTTTGCATCAGGTGACTCACTGAGTAACATGACTTGGTTAATGGGCAAAAGAGCGTCGGTTAACTGTCTGCAGAAATGTTTGTGGCAGTGCAGAAGTAGCCCTGATGTTTAAGGGGCAGGGGATGATTTTTAAGGAAAACAAACCAAACTAAAGCATAAGAAATTTGCTCCTGACATTTAAAAAATTTCAAAAGATTTTAACATTCATTCATCAATGTAGATATGCTACAACCTGTGTTAATGTTTCCCTTTTTCTATTACTGAAAATCTGGTCAACATTTGCACTGATTTTAAAAAGCTATTTTATCCATAAATTTTAATTGTACTTTCTTCTTTAGATGTCATAACACTTATAACAATATCCACCAAAATATTATGATTATAAAGATTTTGAACATGAAATTCATTCAGGACAATAACCAAATAAAACATATCCCCCAAGTGGCATAAAGCCCAAATCCCTAGTTTCTCACATCTCCAGGAGAATTCCTGCAGTGAAAACAGCAATACTCACACAAACAATATAAACTGTTACTCTGCTTGAAAAGTCACAAGGGACTACACAGGAAGAGTGACTATATATTGCTGTTTTCCTTTACAGTTCTAAATGCAGAGACAACTTTCACTGGGGAGCTCGGACTCACATGGATATGTTGTCACGGAATCGGGTATATTCAAGCCACTTAGCAGAAAATTACGTGACCATCTTGCAACTTGATTGAAGTTTTTGTGGACCATTCATTATTAAGGTCCAGGAAGGCACTCACTAGCAATACTAAGTCTTTCTCTCTGCATTTGTCTTATTTTCTTTTTGGTAGTGGTTGGGTCTAAGTATTTCAGGCTCACACTTAGCAAAAACAACATAATGAACACACACACTAAAAATCATGAGTGCACACAAACTCCTAAACCTCCTAGCTTATGAAAGTTAACAAAATTGCAATAGAGAACTTCAAACAAAGTTCCTTATTTGGGATATGGAGGTGGGAAACGAGCTCTAATGCTTTGGTGAAAACTGTGAGAACACAGTGATTTAGGAAATATTCCAAGTCCAGAGGGATCATTTATTTTCTCTCTATCAAACCTGGTCATTGCCCATATTTAGGTTACATATGTCATTTAGAATCCACTTACTGTTAGATGCTGGAACAGCCACGCCCTCATGATATTTGTGGCTACTTTGGGAAAGATGCCACGCTTTTTGTGACGCTTTTTGTCCTTATCAGGGTCATCATCGTCACCTGTGCTGGGGGAAGCTACACTGTTGTCCAAGCCATCACCTGCAAACATAGTGAATCAAATTTTGACTGATGCTACCTTGACATGCTTTATTCAAATAGAATGCCTTTGGATATAAACAAAACCAAAAGAGCAATTTAAATGATTAATAGTTTCTTTGGTACTTTTTTTTTTCAAGACAAAGAGAAAGAACAAGACCTAGTCTCAAAAGTAATCAGGCCTAAAGAATTCTTCCAAAGAACAGTGCTAAAGGTCAAAGGGAATGGAGGGAAATATCCAATCTCCTCAGTGGTTTATTGCCATAGTAATTATTCCAATATGTATAACTGAGACATATTACATGTAACTCTACTGGGCAGTTAAAATATGGTGGCAGCGATACCAGTGACACTGTCACCGCCGGAGTATTTGAATCCCACGTACAATCATTGACATCAGCTTGTAAGATGCTACATTTAAAATAGCAACTATTTCCACCAGTGATTTATCTTGAGACTATTTAAACTAGGATGGAGAAATGTACGCAATCCATCATATAAGCAGTTTGACATAGGAATGTTTCAAATAGAATATAAATTTCCTTATATTAGAAAAAGCATAAAGTTTAGTGAGGGAAAAATCCTGTCAAAGTACTTTAAACAATTACTATTTAAATGTAATAAAGTAATGCTAAATAAACAATAATTGGAATTATATTACACTAATAACACAGTGTCTGAAAGTCTAGGTTTAAATTTTCTTACTGAAAAATCACCTAGTAACATAATCTTTTGTACTGGATCATGTTTTGCTTTTATTTAATTGATTTTTATTACAGCATTCAAATAGGTTTTTTTCTAGAAAACATTTTGGTCGTGTGATATGTAAATTAAAAAATGGTATCCTCTTATAGTGCCATATTTGATAAGAAAAAAATGAAATTCCCACCCATATAATCACAATATTCAAAAGGGAAGTAGGCATTTTCTGTCTTGGCAACAAAATCAAACAGGAAAACAACAACGAACTCAACCCACACATAACTAGCTAAGCTTCCGTCAAACTTGTCTTCTGTGGAGCTTCTTGGGGCCACACTCTACAAGAGCTACTGGCTCTCAGCAATGAACAGGTTGATTTGAGCCCAGAGAGAAAAGCTACAGCAGCCAGGCTTAGAAATGAGGTAACATACACCCCGGAGCACATTTACCAGCTTAGTAAGTCATTGGAGAGCCATCTATATACCCCAAAGAACCTGATACTTTGCTAAGACAAGTATCCCAGTGACTACATTGGAAGGAGCTTCAGATTTTTACAGAGGTTCTTGAACCTGTGTATTTCTCATTTCTATTTGTGAGGTCCTACATACAGAAAGCATTTTCTATTTTGATTTCAGTTACTCACTCTAATTTATATGAGTTATGTTGTAACTCATCAGATGCTCTTAACTGCTGCCTCAGAGATCTAATCACTCCCCTGAAAAAAAAAAAGGTGCCCCCCGCATTTGTTTTTTCAATTGCCTTGCATACTGAGCTAAATTTGAAAAATGTCATTGGGCAAGGAGCAGCCTAATTCGAACATTGCTACTATTATTACAGTGTCACAAATACATTTTTGCAACTTTCTGAGTTTAAGCTCTTATTACTTTAAAGTCCACAATTGTACTATATTTAAAATCTTTAATAGACATTGTTAAAGTTCCGCAGGATTATAGCCTGAGTTCTGACTGGAAAAGATCATGAAAAACCCTAATTCTAAAGTCATCACTGCATCAGGGAAAAGGCCTGTGTTTTGTGACCGGTTCAAGGTCATGTGGCTGTAATGTGGAGCTGTTGGGGCCTGAACTGGACCAGACACCCACATCCTTAAATCAATGCCCCTTCCACCCTATCCAGGTCTTTATTTGCATAACCGAGTGTTTTATGAGAAATCCCCTTGGGTTTGCCTAATAAATTCTTTGAAAGTCCAGTATTTAAAGAGGCTTTTTATACCGAGAAGCAATTCACCATATAAAATAACAATTCATTAAAGAAACATGAGAAAAGAAAACAACTCCAAAGATTTCAAATTTCCATGGGCTAATCCACTTTCAATATGCAAAAGGTAACCAAGGAAAGAAATATATTACTTGATCATTGATTAAAAATGAAACACTTCTAACCTAACATTACTGCTTTTTCCTACCTCGCCATGATTTCCACCTTTAAAAAAAAAAAAAATAGCCTTCTTATCCACCTCAAACCCCTTCAGATTAATTTAGTAAGCAATGCCTAGTGCCTGCCTAGAAGAGAATTCATTGATAATTTATGGAAATATCTACTATAATCCAGTGGAGATGACTTTTTTCCAGCTTTGTGCATCAATAGATAATCAAGGCCTTAAAGTAGCCTTAGCTTCCCATTACCTCAGGCAAAAGAATTCCTGAAAGCGTGCCTTGAGGGCACCTGAATTATATACTCCATTAGGAGAGGAAGGCTTTCTGCAATCCATGTGTAACACTCACCAGAACCTTTCCTGTTTATTTCTGCTGTATGAAAGCAGAAGCATTAGGAACAGAATTTTTTAAGTGAAGACTTATGTACATACAATGGAGAAACCTTTCAAGCAGGAGCCAGATCACCCCCTTCAGTCCCTGGCAGTGACCTCTCCCGAATAAAAGGTTTCTATTACATCATTAGCTCAAGCCAAAAACAGCCTTGGCTTAATGCACAGTTTGTTCTTCCTACTGTTTTTAGGCAAATACAGCTACTTTACTCCCATCTGGGAGGGAAATTACACTGCTGGGTTGTAATCTAAGACAAGATTTTCATTGGAAGCAAATGCTTTCAATCCAGTGTAAATACTGGTGCATGTTCAGAAAAGCCTAAAACAATAAACCCTGCTCCTTTCCGACACAGTTAGGGAAATGGAGAAGATGGGGAAGGAGAAGAGCATAATAAAACAGAGTATTCTAAAAGCAAACACTTTCATAGATTTTAATAAATTGTTTAACCTCTTCCACTTTCGAAAATTGAAAATTGATCTCAGAACGTCTCGACCTCGGAGGAGAGTCTAAATGGTCAATTGTACCTTTAGCATTTCCATTCACTCTGCAATTTGATACAGTCACCTCTATGCAGTCTCTGGAGGATTTATTTCCTTTTTTTATTTTTAAGATCACTAAACAAACTTGGAGAACCGCCGGCCGACCACACGGCAGCAGGCAGCAGCTCTGAACCACATTTGTAAACTGTCAGCAGTGACTTCATTCCTAGAGCTGACTTCTTCTGCCGCCAAATGAAGGCAAACTGAAAAGGTGGAAATAATCATAAAAATGATGCTAGTCCATAAACAAGCTTACAGCCTCATTAGGACAGCAGTAGGCTCCAGTGGCTGATTTATGCTCGTTTTGCTGATGCTATGAGGAAATGCCATAGGGCAACTTTAGCCAACTGCTAATGGTTTTTGACAGCTTCTTAGCAACTAGTGCAAGCAACGTTGTGGCGTTTGCTAGTGACAGAAACCGAAAATGTCATATTATCTGCCCATGTGTCATGAAGTCCGTGTGGCAATTAACTAGTGGGCCAGTGACTGAGGGGCCAGAGGCTCCTGGAAATGGCCTTTGGCTATGCAGAGGCAGCCAGTGGGCCCTGGGAACACAGTGGCTGCACAAATGTATCGTTCTAATGCAAAATCCACTCCTTGGCACTTCCTGGGCTCCGAGAAGACCTACACTCAGGTCCTTTTCTTTCCCCTCACTGAAGTGACACTTGGTCTTGCTCTCTCTCTCTCTCTCTCTCTCTCTCTCTCTCTCTCTCCCAATCTCTGTCTCTTACCCTCCCTCTCTTCCTCCCTCTCTCCCTCCCTCTCCCGTGCTATCTGAAGAGTTGAGAACAATGTGCATTGATATGATTCTCCGAATGGCTCTTTAATTGGCAATACCTGGTTCTGTGCTCTCAGACGCTGGATTCAAAGGTGCTAGCTGTTTTTCTGCTCTCTCTCAAATTAGTCTAAAAGGATTTAAGATCACTGAAGCAGACTCATTGCCTGTCAGCTTGCACGGTGCAAAGGAACTCTGCACAGCAACAAGACACTATTTAAAAAACACCCAGCTTCTAACAAGCAGGAGGAGAATCTTGGCCACACTTTGCAGTTTCCGAGCTATCAAAACCATGCACTGTATGTCAAACTGTCAAACCTTTCAGCGTGGGCCATTTGCCCTTTCAAATAATATTTAAGAATTGTTTTTACAAAATTTTATAGGCCATGGTCTAGTGAAAGAGGCCAACCAACAAAGAAAGGAATTTGTACTACAATTCGTCTACGGACAATTTCTTGTGAGACCTGGGCCTGTCCCTACGGAGCAAGGCAGGTGACCTGTGGCAGCTCCCAGGCTGTCAGAGAGCTCAGATTTCAAACACGCTCAACTCAAACATCCCGAGTCGCCTATTTAAGCATGCCCGGGCATTTAGACTGTGCTATCTCCTGCCTTTCAAGGCTGGATAAAGCGGCATTTATCGTATTCAGGCCATTCAATGGGTCAGACTGACCCTGTCAGCAGGGGCTCCTCTCTGGCAGGTCAAAGCTCTGCTTTTACTTTTCTCCCCCTACTAACTCCCTCAAGGGCTGCAATTCCCAAAAACCTGCTGGAGGGAGGTTAAAACAAAACAAAACAAAACAAAACACCCACATCCACAGCCCCCACACACATACCAAAAAAACTCACCTAAGATTTACATCACAACTGATCAGAACTCCTTGTGTCAGTGAGCATCAGGTAGCAATAAAATGTGTCGCCCCTCACAAGGTACTCTGTGTAATAGTGGCAAAACCCCTCATGAGGGACATGAACTTGCAACTTCCCCAGGCAAACGCGTGTGTAAAGTTGTGGAACTGCTTGGCTAGAAGCCACGCTGGAAGCCACCATAGACTCAAGAATACTTTCATCTATGGTTTTGTTGTGGGGACCCCATTGATGTGAGCCATATCATCTCTTTTAACGCTTTCTTTTCTCCTCTTGCAGTATTTAGGGATACAGTATTTGTCCTAAAGTGTACCTGAAGTCAAGAATCAAGGACATTGATAA